ATGAGACTCGCGAATGACCGCTGCAAGCGCGAGCGAAATCAGAAGAGAGAGTCGAAGCACGTGACCACGCTTGTATTATGTGAAATTGTACAAGGGCGCGTTTTTTGTAGTTTCTCGTATTCAAACAAAAAACGATTATGCAATTGATGAAATACCTAGTGTTATTATGGAAGTAAAATAAAGGTACAAAAACGCCACACACCATATCATAATCTGGCTCGTGTTTGTGAGTGCAGAGATTCACGGATTCACGGATTGATACACAGGATCGAGGCTTTTGCCCAAGTTTCCCGGGTCGCTTTTGTTCTTGTCGGTCAGTGGCTGTCGTTCACCTGAAAGGCACAAGTGAAAAAAGGGTGTAGCACTGCTCTTTATGTTCTCAGCGCGGGGCAGTATGCTCGCCCTCGCGAGGATTCTCATAAATAAATGTCTAATAGTGCTTTAAATTGGGTTCGAGAAGGAGCCCAATGAAGTGCAGTTTGACAGATTTTCCTCGTCAGTGACTATATTGGAAGAAACCTTCGACCGAACAACACGTGTTAATTGTAAAATTAGATTAAATGATCGAAAAGCTAAACCAAATTCGAAGGTACCACGTTCAAGGTCCTACCGATTTCTTGTATGGCTGACCCTGGAAATCACAAATTCTCATCAGGTTTTCAAACTTATTACTGGATACGCTAGGAATGCATCTATCTGTCGGTGAGCCATCTTAAGCAGCCGAATGTTGACGTGTTGCAAGGCTGCTGAGGACCACGTTAAGGCATGTCCTGACTGGTCTGAATGTGAACCAATGAGAGAGGCACATTTTTACCTCACGTCCCGGAGCCCAGTGTAATATGCACGCTATGGAAGCACCAGGGGACAGTGATTCTCCGAAGGCAGGTGTTCACGACAATTTCTGTGGATGGAAAACAGAAACAAAGCGCATGAGCCAAAGCCCAGTAAGCAAGGTTGTACATCACCAATACTTACATATAAATCAATCAAACTGACAAACACCGTATACTACACCCGGAATTGATCTAGGCTAGACTTCTGCGATCACTCTCTGAATGCGATTCTAAGCATCTCCTTTTCTCTCTTATTTTGTCTGTCTCAAAATGCCTTACCTTTCCATTATTCATATTCATTCGTATCGTACATCGGTGGTCAGGGTGGCCGCTGCTATAGCAGATTATATATAACCTGGATGCGAAACTTGACCACTTTGTGAAGATAAAAGCTTTTATCTGATGGCTATATCTTTCAACCAGCAGCTGTGAGAAAGCCTAGCCATGTGCTTTCCAGCAAGCGGATGCATCTTTCAACTTTTCATCCTCTGACAGATTGTGGACCAACCAAACAATGGTGGCCTTTCTTGACTTGAAAGTTGCTTGTGACCATGGACCATCAGGCTCTATGGCAATGTCTCTGAAGCAAAGGTATCCACCAGAAAGTTTTGATCATACTTGAGTCGTGCGCCAAATCTCGCGGACGCCTGAAGGTCTATGGAAAACCCACCTGAGTTCACTACTTCAATTATCTTCAGATGGGGCCCTCATCTTTCGACTTTCCTCTTCAACTTCGCCATTGGTATGCTCGTGGGAGATCCCATTCTAGCCTCTAACGTTTCCGTGGCATTTTTCACAGATATCAAGTGTTCAGATGATCTGCCTATCCATGGATCTGACCCGTCGTAATGCAGACGACATCAAATAAACAACTCTGTCTTGCGGTTTCAGATGCACTTCACACAGTTTGGCTGTAAGAGTGGATAGTTCCAAACCAGAACAGTGTGCTTGCGGATGAGCCGGTTAGGGTAGTGGACATACTGGTCTACTTGGGCAGCTGTATCTGTCCTGGTTGTCAAGCCAAAGAGAACATTTCCTTCCAGAACGAGAAGACCAAAGTGGCTTTTGTCAACCTGCAACAACTATGATGCATGTTAAGTAACCTTCAGTGTTTGATCATTGACGTCTTCGGAACATTGGCTAAGTTTGTTTGGAACACCGAATCGCTCATGCTGAAGTACGTCGAATGAGTTTCAGAAGAAATAACGCCCGCGCTAGGTGGACTGATCACACTCTGTAGACTGTGCCTCGCATGTTAGTCGAGTGACCTCGAAGAGACTTTCGTACAACCACGCGAAGGGTCGAAACGAGCATAAGAAGGTCAGGCGATGACTTAGCATAAAGGTATGAAAGTCATTCCCCTAGATGGTGATGCTGAGTCGGGACACATCGGTGGTTAGAAACATCGTCAAACATCACCCGGTCGCGCACTTAATGGTGCACATACATCCGGGCTGCCACCTTCAACACATCTTTCCCCCATGGTCTACCCAATGAAAATCCAACTGACAATCCAGTATTCATGCACCATTTAAACCCAGTGCGTAAGTATCTACCCTTACCTCCCCAGATCGTCGGCAAACAAAGCCGTGATAGTTATAACCACCGTTAGACGTATTTGCCTTTTACGGTTGATGTAGATTATTATCGTGATCAAGCAGCTCGTGGTTGTGCTTAGTCCCAGGGTTGAATAGACTTTGTTGAACTGGATTCCAGTAAGCAGTAGTCCTTTTTAGGTTACCGATTCGAACAACATCAACGCAGCTAGACGTTGTAATCACTGTTTGTTTGTTGTATCAGCATACGCTCCGACAGATGGCAGCTCTGAGACTGAGAAAGAGAGCTTCTCTCAAGACCTGCAATTTTTACAAGTACAAAAAGCATGATTCCGGCAGGTGATATAAATGCTCTAGTCGATCGACCAAGTCCTTTTGAAGCCCATCTTGGTGGCTGATTCCGGGTTGACTCCTACGGCCTAGATGCTGAGGAACGACTTCAATTAGATGCTGAACATCATTTGATACTAAGCAGCACAAGCACTCACTGTGTGACATGGAAACCATCAAATGCAAATCAACAGTGAATTCAGTTGGGTCATGTGGCAATCAGTTAACGGTGGAGAGCTTCCATACAGGATCGTTGTTCATTGAGGAATACAGCACTTGATTCCAGTCGTTGCATTGCGATGGCACGTGTATCTATCCGTTCCCTCTCAGGAACGCGCTTGTTGAAACAAAGCCATCCAGTTCATCACAAACAACATCTGTGGGTCATCCGACGCTACATCCCACGGTATTTCCAAATAAACCTTCAAGCCTCGACGCCCAGCCTTCAGTGTCCACACTCTAGAGCAAGCAGGACAAGAAGCGGCTCTTGCTCTCACACTCGACTAGCTTGACGTTGATGTGCTCTGTCTCAGGAACAAGATTTCAAGATGCAACCGCCCCATCACCTTCTACTCACTTCCGGCTGCGTACTTCGGGCGATTCAGATGCTGTCGCAGCTAAATGTACAGGGTTTGTTACCGTCCTAAGTCACCGGGTGAAAGAATCCTTACTTGACCGAATACTCGTTGGTAGTAGCCTATGTACGTTTTGTCTATTAAGGTCTGTGAAGGAGACTCACAAGCGAATGGGTTGCTCGCTGTCTATGATGTCAGCTCACGCTCCTAATGACGGCAGCTCTGACACCATCAAAGGCAGGTTTCATGATAACCTGAATGCCTTGTTGCGGTGTGCTTATAGGCCAAGTATCGTGGAGGTCGCCGGAGATCTGAATATACAGATGGAAAGGCTTAGCATGTCTGAGACTGGATTAGGTGGTCGACATAGATTGGAATCGGTACTTACGGATAATGACGAATGATTGCTCCAGTTGTGTGTTGACCACAGACTGTTTTTGTGCCGCAGTACTAACTTCCGAAGTAACCAAAGTAGTCTGGCCATATGCTGTCCTCCAAAAGGGTACCGGCTGCGAGCTCAACTTGTTCACGTCGCTATCAGTAACCGATGGTGCAGCTTAATAACCAAATGCCGCATTTGTAGATTCTGACCACGAGCTCATCCGGAGCCGCTTCTCCCTTCGTATACCAGGGGCGCGTAAGGTGCGGACAAATCACTTAGCAACTGAGATACCAGCAGGATGTCAGACGAGTTCATTGTAGTCCTCCTCTGGAGTCTCTTCCAACTGCTCCATTGTCAGATGTGAACTCATGCTGGAACGAGATCAACTCTTCTTTGCACAGTGCTGAGAGTTGTGCCTGTGGCACGGCGCTACCGGGCCCATTCAAACACTTGACATCTAAACGAAAAGTCGCAATGCTTGAATTCCATCCGGTCCCTTACGCAACTGGACCCGACGATTAGTCAGACGTCAAGTGAAAGTGAGCGTACTAGCCGACCATGAAGCCTGGTTGACTCGGAAAGCTAAGGAAATGGAAAAGACTCAGAAAGCTGGAATACCCGAGGATTATTTCAGTTGACCCCTACTACCTATCCCCGACCTAAAGCTGCCACCTTCACGTGGTGGTCGGGCTTGAGTGCTGCAATGATCCCGCGGGCTACACTGGCTGGAACTTCGTTCCACAAGGTGCAACCATGCCAGGAAGGCCAAAGGGGAGCAGCGAGACCCCGCAATACGAGCAATCGTGGTACGGGGCGGTCTGGGGGTAAAGTCGTACTGTCCTCTGCGACAGGAGTGTGAAGGCAGTAAGGTGTTTCCCCCAGG